TTTAGGCTTTTTGTCAGTGCGTACAGGTTTAAACATCTTGGCTTGCGATGGTAGTGGAAGTTTTGCTCTTGTTTACAGACTTATGTATATCAATGGATCTTTTGGTCATGCCTCCTCAGAACTGATTAAGAGACGTGTCCTTTGAAGCTGGGAAATTTGGGCCATCGGTTAGGTGCTTTATACGCTGGCTCCCGGATCTTTGACTTATTGTATCCTCACACAGTTCTCCACGTCTAAGCTGACCCAGCTTAACTCCCCAAAAACACTCTTCACCCAGATCCTCCATCTCATTTCCCCCTCATTTATCCAGCTAAGAGATTTTAATAGGGATTAAAGGAATACTTCACTCAAAACTTATCCTAAATTAAAATGAAAGAAAGCCAATCATAACTATCCAGCATTATGGTAGAAATACCACCTTGTTGATTTTCGTTGACTTTTATGTGCCTTAACTGATGAAATTAATTAATGTCATGGCTTTTATTACATGTTTTTATATGTTTTTGAATATTTTAAACTGAAATTTGTGGGAACATGTTGTACTGTTGTATAGCATACAGTGGCTTTGACTAGATGAGTGAAGACGAGACTTTTGCCATATGTAAAGAGTAATAAGTGTAAATAAAACAAATGTAAAGAAAAAAGTAAGGGGTTTCAATTTCAAAAAACACAAATAAATATGCCAAAATAATATTTATGTATAGCAAGAACGTTTATTCAAGTATTTTTCATTCCTCATTAAACCAGACCGGAATGTGGTAATTTAAACTGTAGTCTGAAAATAATTGCTGCATATATACATACTATATAGTGTTCTACATATGGACCTTATACTTTTTCTATTGACATCTTGGCTTATTACAGCTTCCAGTGGAATGAGCATCCTCTTAAATATGCTCTTAAATATTCCGTTTACTATCATGTTAATTTTCTATCAAGGTTTTTCAAGCTATTTTGTGTTACTCAGTCCACATCAATTCTTTTTATAAATAATACTAATATAAAACTGCTGTATGTAATAGCTTGAGGTCATTGTTATAGACTAAAAGAAACGGATAAATAGCTAATAATGACTGCAAGTGAGTGCTTTTTTTAATTGTTTGTATTCTTGTTTTCTTTGTGGGAGATCAGGGGCTCTGTGAAGGCGAACAGGGGTGACAGTCTGCTTGGTCACGGCTTGGTGGTCTCGCCAGGAGCTGCCCCCTCCATACCCTCCCAACACACACAGACACACACATGGCCCAAAAATCCTAACAGACCTACAAACTGCAGGGACTCTCCACCTACTGACCAACCAAACCGCCACACAGATGGAACAACACACACACACACACACACACATAAAATTTGTGTGACCTCCAGTTTGGAGGTTACTGGCTTTTCACCAAAGGCCTCGATTGTCAGTTTCATTATGTATTTTCATCAAACTGAAATAGATTTTTTTTATAGGTCTCTCAATATTGCGCTCAGCAGTGCTACATTTTCACAAAAACAAGAGGAAGTAGAACATTTTCTGACATTAGAACAGAACATTTGGTGCTCTGTGTTGATGAATGCTCACAGTTAGCTAAAGAAGATGATAAATGTACTGTGTTTCCTAGCTGATGCCACATCCCACAAAATGCACACTTTTGATTTGGCCCACTTTGCGAGAACTAATGTGGCTCCCTTTTATTGTTTCAAATCTTTGCTCTAATGAAAAACAAACAACTCCCATTCGCAAATTGTAGCGTGACTTGCTGGGTCTTAAACAAACACAATTTGCTTCGTGAGGTGTCAGGGAGGAGTCGACTAAACTTTCACACCTCCTTTATTTACGCCTTTCCTTTTTATTTTTTTAGGAGACATGGCAGTTTCCTGCTTACAGAAAATATTCTAACGGTTCAGTGCATGCCTTCCACCATATATATATATATATATTTATTTTTTTTTGTCATCCTGCAGAGCATGCTCAATAATCCTATAAACCAAATCCTTTGCCAAAGATCAAACCATCAAGAATAAAATGTCATACATAAAGTTAACACTACAAAGTCTTGTCCTTAGCTTAGAGGATTGGATGTTGGACTCCTGAAGGTAATGATTTCAAATCCCAGCACTGCCAAGCTGCCACTACTGGGCCCTTATCTTCAATTGCTCAGTTATTTAAATGAGATGAATGTAAGTAGCCCTGGATAACAAATAACACCCATAGGTGGTTCTTCCCCAAACTGTTACAACAAAGTTGGAAGCATACATTTGTATAGAATGTCTTTGTTTGCTGCAGTTTTCCGTCACTGGATCTAAGAGGTCCAAACAAGCTCCATGAAGACATGGTGTGCCAAGGTTGGAGTGGAGAAACTCCAATGTCTTGCACAGAAGCCCTGGCCTCAACCCCACTGAACAACTTTGGGATTAACTGGAACACTGCACCTCAGACCCCCTCACCCAACATCAGTGCCTGACTTCTCTAATGCTCTTGTAGCTGAATGAGCACAAATCCCCACAGCCACGCTCCAAAATCTAGTGGAAAGCCTTCCCAGAAGAGGAACTAAGGTTGTTGTAACAGGGGGACTAAATCTGGAATGGGATGTCCATATGTATTAACAGGAGACAAAATAGAGGCGGTATGATGATGGTGTATCAGTGGTGTGGCCACTTGTGTGATGTCACAATAAATTACACTGGCACATTGGAGCTTTCTGTGTGAACTGGAAAAAGTGTGTGTGTGTGGGTGTGTGTATGTGCATGTGCCAGGCTTCATTATTGGGTTTAGCTCTTATTACCTCATCAAATGCGTGATGCCTTTAACACACTTAATTGATACGTATAAAAACCAATGAGTTACTGCATTGAATGCTTCTGAACTTACTGAACCTTTTCATTGGGGAGGGCGGGGGAGGGGTTTAATATTTAAGAGAATTTGTAATGGTGTGATAACATTACTGTACATTTTCCTCCGTGTTGTAAGACCTTTGTACAGGACAAAGAGCACAAGAAAAAATATTTATTTGCTAACCATTAAACACTATTCAAACCAATTGTAATCATTAGCATCATTTCAGTATACGGTAATAAGACTGATAGACTCATAAGACTATATAATCTGTTGTATGAATGCTTTATAGTACTTACAGTACTCTGGTTTAAGGACTATATAGAGTGAATTGCAGATGGAGTTTAGACAAACCAGAGGAAGAAATGTAACAAGCAGAGGCATTACTAGAGATTTATAGATATGGGGCTTTGCCTTTATTAGAGGGGGTCTAAGGGCATGGTCCCAGAGGAGAATTCTTTTTTTTTTTACATGGCCCCAGAATGTCTGTTTATAATGATTTTCGTTTTTTTTTTTTTTTTAATGTGGCTATCGGATTACACTGGCACAAAGTAGTAAATGCATAGTTTGTATGTAAATGCACAGACACAGGCACAGACCATCGATATTAAAATCGAACCACGCTCTCTTCTCTGCCGTTTGTAGAGGTCCTAAATAAGTTATTCAAATACATAGTGTAGTGCTTACAGATTTATTTGCCTTCGTCATTATTTCACCTTTTTTTCAAGGTCATAGTGAATCCATAACCTATGCCAGGAAATTGGGTGTGATGCAGGAAAACACCTTTTTCACAGAACCATTGTAAGGGAATCACACAAACACACACGCACTCATTCACACACTCGTTCATACCTACAAGCCACTTAGAGCCACTAATTCACTTACCAGCATGCTTTTGAGAGATGGGAGAAAACCAGAGAACCCAGAGTAATCCCACATGGACACCGAGAGAACAAGCACAATTCCGCAGAGACAGGATCAAACCGGGGACCGTAGAGATGTGATGTGGTAACGCTACCCACTGTGCCACTGTGTCTTTAATAACAGCCTAGGTGACAAGATTTCAAATGTATAGAGACTTCTAACAGCACAAATTTGAAAATGTCTGCATGAATGTGTTACTTATTCTCCAAAATAAAGACATTAAGAGTATTAAGGGAATCAAAAACCACTTCATCCAGATTCCTCAGGACAATCAGGCTATATATTATAAAATCTGTTAACTCAAGCCTTGTATGATTAATAGGCCTGTGTTATCAAATTTAGCTCCTTAAGCCATCTCAGTCTCCATCAGCTCCTTTCTTTATCTTTTCTGGCTTGTGTTTGAAACACATTATTTTACTTTATTATTATTATTATTATTATTATTATTATTATTATTATTAGTTTTACTGATGTTAACTTATTGTAAACAACAATCTATGGCTAGTCATATGATATGATAAGAGATATGAAGGCCTAAAGACCACCTCTTCACCAAGCACTTGAATTGAATTGCTTATCCAATATTATTTAAATAAATAAATAAATAATAATATTATTTAAAAAAAAACAACAACGAATTTGTTCAAAAGTATATACTGAAGGTACTGTTAGTCCCTGATCTAGTGAACTAGCATGAGGAAGTGCCAGAGACAATAATTTTGCCAGTTAGTATAAGAACATCTGCTAAATGCTGTAAATGTAAATGCAAAAAATATGTATGAATTAATCATATCAATGATTGCTATTTTTTTTCATTTGTTTTGCATGTTAGCACTTTCTTAAAACTCCTACTTAAGCTAATATAGTTGCCTCATGATTTAGCTGATGTTAGTGTTATAAAGCCTATCCTCTTTTTTCTTAGTTTATGTTTTTTTCATAACAATACATAAACTCAATAGCTATACTGAACATATACTTAACATAAATTCAGACACATGGCACATGGAAGTTGTAGTGCGTCTAATCCAAACTGCTTGTCAAATCCAAACTGCTTATCCTGCACAGGGTCATGGCGAGCCTGGAGCCTGGACAAGAGGCGGGGGACACCCTGGATGGGGTGTCAACATCTCGCAGGGCACAATCACACACACTCTATGGGCAATTTGGAAATGGCAATCAGCCTACAATGCATGTCTTTGGACTGTGGGAGGAAACCCTAGTACTACCCAGAGGAAACCCCCAAAACACCTCTGTGTACACCTGGCAGAGGTGGGAATCGAACCCCCATCCTTGAGACACAAGGCAAAAGTGCTAACCACTAAGCCCCCATGCCACCCAAAGATCCCCGATTATATTTAGAAATATTAAAATGTAATGAAAAGGACAAATACGGCTGAAAGTAATGCAGTGGCAAATACTTTTAAAATACTTTAAAATAGGTTTGATGTTTTGCTTAAATTAAAAGCCTTAAAAGTTAAAAGTGTTTTCGTATTTGTTTGTCACTGTGGGACAAAAACACAGGCTTCAGCTTTATAAACTGGGTTCCAAGTAGCTACAAACTGGACCAATCAGAATTCTCACTGTAGGGATTGTAAGTTGCGATTACTTCAGCCATTTTGTAGCTAGGTATTTTCACTCTATAAGTGAAGAGCTACTCACTGCAGAGCTCCAAAGCCCACTAAGAATGGCCTAGCGACACCTTGAAGTGTTTTACGGTCAGCACACAATGTTGCACAGAATCACTGTCTAGCCTAATCAGTCCACAGCTTGTGAGTCAACAAACTCTTCAAAGAATGATCTGCTATTAGTCCAACAAGTTTGGTGAGTAATGTTGATTCAGGTTGTTTCAACTGATGGCTTTTTTTGTGCTGTGTGTATCCACCTTTCTGTTAAACACACACACACACACACACACACACACACACACACACACACACACACACACAACTTAACACATCGATTCTCTCTGTTTTTACTTTACCTTAATGACAGATTTTTTTTTTTGAAGCTGTTCCCAGACTTAACATGCAGCTCTGTTTGGTAAGCAATGCATGATTGTGCATGAATACATAGTCGAGTTCTTTTCACTAGATCATCTGCTTAGATATCTGGAGGCAAATATGCATAAAAACGCTGGCTTAAAAGCTCTATTATTCTAATTTAAAATGGAATCAGGTTTTCAGACACGACCACTAAAGACGTCATGAGACATGTTCGATTGAATATGGCCACTGAAGTTTATGCACAGTGACGGCGGTGCGAGGAAGAACTGAAATGAGCAAAAGAAAGACTTTGCACGTTTGTTTAAGAAGGTAATAAGGCAAGCTGAGTGTGAAGCACAGCACGAGGCTACAGGGCCAAATCTGTCAGTGTAAATGTGGCAGGGTTTTTTTTCTCTCGGCAAGCGTGCATGTTGCAACGTGCCAGCTAACTCACACAGGCGCCTTTTGTTAGCAGCAGTGACGAGGCCAGGTTACCAGATATTATGAGGAGTAAGCACATGTGGAGAAATCCCTCATGAGCACGTAGCCTCTCTGGGTCAAATGAAGTGAGTTGTTACTGACATGACAGGATTCATCCAAACATCGTTTTTCACAATGTCTTTCAGTGCTTAAGCTGAAATATGAATAGCAAGAAATGGGTAAACAATTGCTTTCAATGCTCGAGTAGTAGTGAGTATAAAACTATTGCTCGAGGCATATTTCAATGTTTATATTTTGTATAATTTGTTCTCTCATTTTTTATTTACTGTTTATCTCCAGACAAACAGGCAGCATGGTAGTGTTGCTATCTAACAGCTTGTATGATCATGACTTTGAGTTGCCGTTTATGTGGAGTGTCTCATGTTCTTCCTATGTCTGTATGGGTTTCCTCTGGGTTCTCTGGTTTCCTCCAACCTCCCAAAAACATGCTGGGTGGTAGATTGGTGAAGCTAAATTGCCTCTGTGTCACCTGTGATGGACTGGTGCACTATCCAGGTTGCATTCCTGCCTCGTACAAGTTCTCCCAGGATCCAGTTCGACCCTGACCAGGATTAAGCAGTGACTGAAGATGAATGAATGAATCAAAGAACCAATGAATAATCTCCAGAGAGACAAACTGCCAAGCATGTTGAGTTCTTGTTGATTTTACTAAACAACAGTACTTTTCAGAAGAACCAGGATGCTGATTATAGCATGCAGAATTTATCCAGTTCTAAGCTATTATTGCACTCATGAAGGCCTGGTAATAAGCTGATGAGCTAAATGATGAGCTCATGTGTCACATCTGGGTTTTTCAGTTCATCTTTCTGGAACACCTTATCCTTGAGAACTAGAGTCTGAATTCATTCAGTCTCAGCTAACAAAGTTTATTAACAGAACATTCAGTAAAGTACTCTACAGGTTATAAAAATGTTAGGGTGTAATGTTACAAAACTTTGTGCAATTCCAGGCAAAATGTGTAATAAATAAACATATTTTTGTTACATTTTCGTCATAGGATAAGCTACTAATCCTTCCCATATTTTAAATACGATTAAGAATGCTGTTGACAAAAGAAGAACGTACTGAAATCATCCTCATGGCTGGATCAGGAAGCTGTCGCAAGGTTGCAATGGACTTTAAAAGGAAACATGGCAAGCACATCACACATGACACTGTTGCCAAACTTATTAACAAATTAAAAAAAAAAAAGTGTTGCGGACCAATGGAGAAGTGGACATCCATGAACATTTAACGAAGGCACAACTGACATGGTGCTAGAAAATATAGTCCCCTATGTATGGAGACTTTTGGGACACCCGGTAGTCTGGACCAAGGGAATCATCTGATACATCGATAAGGGTATATGATGATAGTCTTTAAAATATATCCATCCATCCATGTTGTATACTGCTTATCTTACAGGGTCAAGGGGAACCTGGAGCCTATCAAAGGGAGCATCGGGTACAAGGTGGGGTACACCCTGGATGGGGTGCCACTCCATCTCAGAGCATGATTTAATAAACAATCACACACCCATTCATACACTATGGATGCTTTGAACACTTTGGACATGCCAATCAGCCTACCACTACCATGCATGTCTTTGGACTGGGGGTGGAAATCAGAGTACCCAGAGGAAACCCACACAGCACAGACACACACACACACACACACAGAACAGCGACAGAAATCGAACCCCCAACCCTGGAGGTATGAGGAGAACGTGCCTCTTTAAAATGTATTCTTTACCAAAATTTCAATTGTTAATTGTATTAGAGTACATTACACAGACCATTGTGAGTGTATTTTAATGTATTGAGAACTATTCATAAACATCTAGAATTTCCCCTTTACAGAAACAAATAAACAATACTAGAGAAGAGAACCAAAAAAAAAAAGTCTATGTATATGTTCTGCAAGTGCTACAAATTGTTACTAGGAAATCCTTTAGCGTATAATTGAGTGCCTTTTTAAAATTTCTTTTATACATAACCCATAAAATTACTTTATTTATCCTGCCTTCCTGAGAGACAGCTAGTACATGTAATGAAATCCTATTTTTCATAACCTCCAGTAAATTAACTGCATGCACGTGGCTCCTCTCTGAGATGTGAACTGTGTGAGCAGCAAGGAGGATGAAGTGCAGAAACAGTCTAGGCCACCTTATGTCAAGGTCACTGGGCTCGGGTTGCACCTTCTCCCCCTCTTGAAGCTTTATAGTTTCAGTCACGGTCAAAACATTTAACCCCATTTCTTTCTGCTACAGAGAGAAAAACACACACTTGGTTTTCGGCTCCTCTGTCTTATTTAACTCAGACGTGATGGCAAACACAGACGCGTAAACGTTCTCTTTACAAGTGACACCTAAGCACTAAACAAAAGTGTGTGTGTGTGTGTGTGTGTGTGTGTGTGTGTGTGTGTGTGTGTGTGCGTGAATCAATACACTATTGTGGTATGTATATTCATGGCATGAGACTCCCTGTAGCCAATCATGGCATTTTTACAATAACATCATTGAAAAGCTTGCCTGTTTTCAATATCTTATTCATGACACACCACAGGACAACAGAATATGTTTGTAGGAGAATCGTACCTACTCAATTCTGCATATTTGACCTTAATAGATTCCCATTGGCTCATTTCCTCCCAAACCCAATGAGAACACTGTCAATTGTGCTGTTACAGACTCTCAGCTGCACTGCTTCATCACCAATTAATTAACCTCAAGTCCTAGAGACAGAAACCAGCCAACCAACCTGAGAATAGACATTTGTTTTTCTCTTAGGAGGCAAATAATAAAGAGGGATAGTAACAGAATATAAATATTTCACTATTGTACTGTAAGATTATTTTAAGGATTTCGTAAAAGAAAAAAAATCATTCTCTGCTATAACTAAGATAGGCTTGATATATTTATTAGAAAAGCAAAACAGCATGCAAATTTATCTGTAACACCATGCTTAAGTTGGAGTAAACATGACATAAGTCCTTTTGGCTATGCATGTGTAAGTACTTTATGGTTTAATGCATTAGGTGCTGAATATTATCACTGTAATTAAATCAAGTACATTCTGCAATATAATCAATATTTGTGGCCAGGCTTAAGCTGAATAACCACAAAGCAACAACCTTCTTTGCTGAAATATCTCATCCATTAGGGTCAAAGTCTCCCTGATTGATGTGAAACTGGGTGGCCCCACAATCCTGTCCACTCCTCTCATACAACATTTCTCAGATGTGATGTGATCCTCTGCTTATATAATAGACATTTTCCAGCCTCTCTCTCTCTCTCTCTCTCTCTCTCTCTCTCTCTCTCTCCAGCATGTCGCCCCATCCACCGCCGATTCTCCTCAGACATAAAAGCAGTGAAAATGTGTCTGTGGAGTGCTGATGGTCTCATGTGGGCCTGTGAATCCGATTAAATGGGTCTTGTGTATGAGGTGCTGAAGCCTGAATTGGGGAAGAATGTTTTGTGTTTCTAGATAGTCACAGGAATGATGTGGAGAGTTAGGTTTGTTGGAGGCATTAGTGATAAATTGCTGAAGATGTCGAAATAGAACCACGTAAAAGTGTCTTAGATGTTTATGCTGGGAATTCGCTTCGTAATACTTGTTTGGAAAAGACAGTTACAATAATAGGCATATCTATAAAAATAAATAAATAATGCAACTTACTTTCTTATTCTGTATGCCTTGGTATGCCAGGTCACAAGACTTAACACCTGTAAAATAGTCTTCTCTTCCAAAATCTGATTATGCAAAAGGATTCAGCTCAATTTAGTTGATAACCAACACTAAAACTTGAGCAGAAAGAGAAATATACAGTATAAAGAGCAAAAACTAGATGCACTGACAAAAACCTTTAGCCA